ATGTGTAATATAACCATTTTTTTTCGTTGGATTTGTTTTTTGTTCATGATATTTTGTATTTTTTTTCCAAATATATTCTTGTAGAAAATAATTAACAAAAAGAAATAATAACGATATTGAATGAGTAAGAAAAATTAAAACAAATATAACAGGATAATCATAACAAGATTGATCTCCTTTGAATAACATTGCATGAAAACGAAATACGCATCCAATAGCTGCAGCTATAAATTGACTTATCTAAATAAAAATCAATAGAAAAAAAAAAAAAAAACGTAAAATTTTTAATGAATCAATATTAAATTTTACCTGTATTGCAGTAACAAAAAGTTTAATTTGAGCTAATCGTTTTCGTTGAATATGCATGATAGTTAATGCATAATACAGATACATAATAACATGAACACATGCATTAACAATTACTGGTAATACTACTTCACCACCTGGCGCATAACGTCTATAATAAAAAAACATCCTTTTTGTTTGTTTTTTTGTCGTTTAAATTTCAAATAATACTAACGCAGCAAGATACCATAGAGGAAACATTGTTGAATGATGATAAACATGAAGAATACTAATATGAGAAAATTTTTTAGTTAAAATAAAAAACCATGTATCCCAAAATTCAAAAGCTTTAGAAATATAATACCACCATACAGCTTTAGCTAAATAAATATCTTCTTTATCATGCATAACACCTTGACAAAAGATTCGATAAGATTTTAAAGTTATTGTTCGTACTGAAAGAATAACAACGTATACATTAATTAAAACTGCTAAGAAATTATATATGACTATAGCTAAACGAAGATTATATGCCTTGGAACGAATTGACATCCATTGTTTGCCATAAGGAATTGAAAGAAGATAACCGATGGTAATAATGATCATTGGCCATGGTGAACTACAAAGGAACCATGAATGAGTTATTGGGTCCGGTCCTTGAGGTGATAGATGTTTGAGCATGATATAAACTAATCACTGATAAAAATGTATATAGATATATGAATATGACGAAGACGAAGACGAAGATACGCTTCAATAAATACATGTTCTACATAATCGATGAGGAGTGAAGAAAAGAAGGCGTCATCTAGACCTTACATGAGTAAGGACAAGAAGCACGAGCTACATTGATAAAATATAAAACCACACTGTTTTATAATTTTTCTCATTAATAGAAATAGTACAATTATCGGAAACAATTTATTATTTCCATGTAATATTGAATATACACATTAGTCAACATAAAAAACATATTTTGAAAATTAAAAAAAACAAAAAATTTTTTTTTGTGTATTTCTTCGATTGATTTACTGCACATAAATGACAAACAAAGTTGTTCGAAATTCATTTATGTATTATCACTTTATTTCATGAAGCATTTTGTATAATACAAATAGTGTCTTTTCGAATACATGAAACAATATTATCCTTGACTACTTGTTTTTTTTTTTTTGAGTATACCTTTTATCTTTCTCTATGTCGCACCTGGTATCTTTTTCATCAAGAGAGAACGAAATGACAAAAATCATATTCAATATTACGAATTCGTTTTTATTTGCAATAAATAACGATATTTTATATTGATATGACTTCTTTCATTAAATTTCGATATTTATCTTATGCTTTTATTGCATTTAGTTACATTTCGCTTTTCTTTTACTGTCATATTTGATGAATAACGTAATTAATAATCATATTATATCATACTATTCACATAAACTAACTTTGGTAATCATACGATTATGGTTACTCATGACGGCATCTAGAATTTTTTTTTCTCACTCGTATTTATTTTCTCTGTTTTTATATCTTTGTTAGGAAAATAAAAATATTTTCGAATTAATTCTGGATCATACATTGTATAAAAATAATAATCACAGCAAAGACAATAATCTTGACCATTTTTATAGCACTAAACTTATTGATAGTTGAATAAATAATCGAACATCATCATTTCTAACCAAACGATCTTGTACTACATAAAATGTACATGAAGCTTGGTGTGTCGGTGTAATCGTTCTAAATGATAAATCATCATAAAAGAACTCAGTCTGTTATAACGAAAGGAAAGTTAAGATGTCTTGATCGCTTGAGAACAAGCCTTATTTTTCATGATTTATATTTAAAGTTACATAGAACAAAAAAAATTTATATGAAATATATTTGTGCTAAAAAGTTCCAATTAACTTTGTATCTGTCAATGTGATCAAACTCATCGGTTAATTACGGTTCTTTCGCTTCAATTTTTTATATCTCACAGAATGAATATTTTTAAATACTTCAAAAAACAAAATGTTGTCCTTCTGCAGTTTAATCGCACCCTTACACTGATTAGTACATTGAACGCAGCAATCAGTGTGAGGGTGAGAGTGTGGGTGTGATTAAACTACAGTAGTACCGTTTAATTATTTTCGTAAAGATGGCGCCACAAACATAATCTTTCATTAGAAGAACTAACTAGTAGGAAAAATTGTAGCATCATCTGATATCAGATGCTACAATATATTAAAATCAAATTTTTAGTCGAATTCTACGTTTTCATGACAGATTATATCAATTATTAATTAAGAAAAAAAAATTAAACTGTTCGAACTGTTTTTTTAATGAATAAAGGTGATATAAGTGAGAAAACCAGAGAATTGGTATTTTTTTTTGCACTAATTACAATACTCATCAGACAGTAATTAAAGACAATCTTCGTAATTCGAACAATTTTATCAATAATGCGGAAAATTTCTTTTTTTCTAAAGAAATCCCCTATTATCTTTTTTTCTATGAAAGCCACCAGTTAACCACGGTTGTGCTCTGTTATGAAAATTTATAAAATAATTAATCGCGAACTTATTCATAATAGTAAAAGTTTATCAGTTACCATACAAAAGATTTCTTAGAGTTCTTCTTTCAATATACACATAGCTATTGTAGTTAACATATATAAATATTCAATAGGTAAAATAGAGATCCGAAATATTCTTTTGTCATATTTGACTAGGTTGTTTTTGTGCCTTTTCGTTCTATATTCTCTTTTTGCTTTCAAATATATATTACCAGCTGTACTATACATATGCATCAGGCAGTATAAAATTTATTCCGTCTTTTAATTACATTCATATTCAGATCAGAACTGCCGGCGTGGCCTGGTGCCTGATAGGCCAGGCTCTTGTCCAGGCCGAATTTTTGAACTTTTAGCCTCGCCTGATCCTGTCCATGTTATATACGGCCTGGTTTGCAGTGCAGACCAGGCCAAGATTTTTGGCTTGGTTATAATTTTGTGATTGATTTCTTTGCTTAAGAGTAATAGATCTGAAGTACAATGGTAGTAAAATTCAACAGTTTTGTATAAAAACTACAGCCTTTTGAAAACAAAATAATTTTAATAGAATAAAAGAGTGAATAAATAAAAGAAACACAGTAACTATACAGCGCTATCGCAACAAAAAGAATTTAAGTTATTGTTAGGGGTGGGAAGTTACCGTTACCGTTCCCGGGTAACGGTAACGGGGCAGTTACCAGTTACCCGGGTAACTGGTAACGGGACAGTTACCAGTTACTTTTCAGGGTAACTTCTTTAAAACGACGAATTATGACTTCTTATGATCGAATTTTGTGAAAAAATTAATTTTTGAATTTCGGAGTTACCCGGGTAACTGGTAACGGGAAACCAGTTACCAGTTACCGGGTAACTCCGGAATTCAAAAATTAATCTATCGACGAAATTCGATCATAGCAAGTCATAATTCGTCGTTTTAAAGAAGTTACCCGGAAAAAGTAACTGGTAACGGGGCAGTTACCAGTTACCCGGGAACTGGTAACTTTTCCCGTAGCAACCGTTACCGTTACCGTTCCCGGGTAACGGTCTGGGAACGGTAACTTCCCACCCCTAGTTATTGTTCATTTCAAAACAACTCTCATTTTTTCATATTTTGTTCTATACTACACAGTTCAAATAGAGTAATATCAAATAACAGCGACTTTGTTTTATTATATATTTTTGTATCATCTATTCAGAAAGCAAGTACAACTGTTTCACCATTCGTTTTTTATGCGAAAGCATTGTGGTATTCTAGTAAACGGATAAATCTATTTAAAGAACGGAAAAACTAGTGTGATATCGTTGATAATACACCATAATCAGCTTTTGATCTATACTAACAACTTGTTGGTTTTGAAAGAGTTCCAAATTACTGAGCAGTAGAATTTAATAGGCTCGAGAAACTACAAATAGTATTTGGCCTGCAGGCCAGTCCAGACCAATAAACCAGACAGTCCACCGCGCTCTAACCCCCAGGCCGGGTCAGACTAGATCAGGCCGGAAAAAAGTGGCCTGTTGGCATCTCTGATTCAGATCGGTAAGGATTGTAGTAGTAGTCTCTGAGTTTATTTTATTTTTATTTCAACTTTTACAGTTTAATAATTTATCATGTTACGAGAGTGCATGAAAATAATAATCATTTTTTTTTTCTTTGTAACAAAATCTTCTGAGACCTGAAAACTATCGTATCCAGTTTTTTAGAAACTTTATCATTATAGTTCATCTAAGAAATCTTGATCTAGAATGTATTAGTTAGAAAACTCTATTGGCTATTAAAATTTACTATCTGAATTTGAACTAGATGCTTGACATTATGAAAAAAAAAAAAAAACTAAAAAATATGTTGTTGTTAAACTTTTATTCCATCACCTCATGTTACAAGCAAGATTGAATTTTAGGTAACAATAAACTTAGATAGATTCCGTTCTTAATTAGGTGCAAAATTATGAAATAATTTTCTTTTATTTAAAAATAAATTCTAATTTTCATTTCCATTAAGAGAACAAAATATCTACTTATTACTTTTAAGCAGACAGTATTCATTTTCACTAAGTCATATTCTAATATATGCACAAGTTATATCTGCGTCAATATTAGAAAATATTGTTCGAAAGTATTTTTTCTTTGAACAAGCAAATCAACATAAGAAATTTTTGAGCATTAAGTTTCAAGAGAAGATACTATTGTATCACAGGAAATACATAAGCTAAAGTCGTTCGTTGGTTTTCGTTAGAAAATGACTGAAAAAACTTAACCACATAATATATTCATACTTCAAGTATCATCTATGAGCCAGATCAAATTCGAAGACAAAGAAAGTTTGATAAAAAAAAACTACTGAAATAAACAAAACGTTAAAGATTCTTTCTTTTTGCTTCTGATCGAAGCTTTCTATAATCTATTAGATTTCAATTGAATATATTCATGAACTCGACAACTTCTTAGGTTCAACTAGACTTCACTTAAAGCTGAACATAACTTAATATAAGTATATAACATTAATTTTTCATTCTCATCTTTTTCGATTTTTTAAAATTTTACAAACTCTGCTTACATTTGCCTGACACACACATATATACATATATTGATGAAGTTCAAAAATAAACCATGATATAGTCTTTACTTAAACAATGAATATTTTAATTAAGTAATTCCTTTTTGAAAATAAATCTACAGTTTAAATTAAACACAAGCCATATATCTTTATTCAAAAACTAATTGAAATCAGTTTATGAAGCAAATAACAGTTAAAATTTATTAGATTTTTGTTTTTTTTTTCTGAAACTAATCTTATTAAAAATTGCTGCTAAACATTTCAATAATGATTAAGAAGCATTAATATTTTACTATAAAGCTACGTAGTTTATAAATAGGCTTTCTTTGTCCATCTTATTACATGATATCTATCTAACATTCATCTTTCTTACTATGTATTTTAAGTATCTGCTAATAGTCATTTTGATACTTGTTTTATCACATAGAAGTTTTATTTAAAGAATTACAAAGTTAAAAAGGAACTTCGATTTTTCGTCTTATTTATTTGAGACAGTCATCTACATATATGCATAAGTCTATTTTGTGATTAAAAAATAATTGAATATAAATATATATGTATAATAAAAGAAAATGTTCAAGTCTTTTAATGTGAAATTAACAAGTCTGCAAGAGTATTTCGACATAACCCGAACCATCATTGGCAACAACAATATCCAACCAACTATCATTGTTAAAATCTCCAATAGCGACTGATATTGGATGAGATCCATAATCAAGGGAATATGTCTTTGGTTTTGAAAAAATTCCATTGTCAGATCCAAAGAAAACAAGTACATTATTAATGCCACTATCAGTAACGACAATATCTGTTTTATTGTCTTTATTTAAGTCTGCAACAGCAATAGAAGATGGTTCAGAGCCTTGTCCTGTTGAATAATTTTGTGAGATTATAAAAGTTCCGTTTCTATTTCCAAGAAAAATACAAATATTGCCTGTATTAGAATTAGCTACAATAATATCCATTTGTTTATCATTATTCAAATCTCCAACAGCAATGAATTTAGGACTTGAATAAATACCAATAGAATAAATTTCTTGATTTGCAAAGCTTCCATTTCCATATCCAAGAAAAATACCAATATTATTCGTCTTAGAATTTGCAACAGCAATGTCTAGATGATCATCATCATTGAAATGACTAACAACGACTGCATACGGGCTAGAGCCGTTATCCGTGGAAAACGTCGTTTGTTTACCCAAAGGCTCACTTTTATCTCGAAGCATAATACCTATATTGTTCTTATTAGAGTTACTGACAATAAAATCTAATCGACCATCATTGTCAATATCACAAATTGCAATCGATGATGGATCTGTATTAATACCAGTTGAATAGATCTTTGATACTAGAAATGTTCCATTATCTAGTCCATATAATACACCAATATTACCTTTTCCACTTCCAAAATCCGAGATAGCAATATCAAGGATTCCATCATTATTTATATCACCTACTACAATCGACATTAACATAGATCCCGAGTCAGTCATATATGTTGTTTGTGAAGAGAATGATCCATTATCATAACCAAAAAATATACCAACATTTTGGGTATGCTTATTGGCCACAGCAATATCCATCCAATTGTCTTTGTTAAAATCTCCAATCGCAATTGAACATGGACCAGAATTATTTCCAGTTGAATATAATGTTACATTTCTAAACGCACCATCACCATATCCTAAAAGTATACCTATATTATGTCCATTAAAATTGGCAACAGCTATATCTTGTACATTGTCATTATTGAAATCACCAACAACAACCCATACTGGAGATGATTCATCAGGCATTTCATATGATATTTGTTCTTTAAATGATCCATTCCCATATCCTATAAATATACCAATAGTATTAGTGTCTTCAATGGCTACAACAATATCTTGTTTCCTATCGTTATTAAAATCTCCAACTGCAATGGAAACTGGTGATGAGTAGATTGTCTCTTGTGATATATATGGTGCAAATGATCCGTTCCCATGTCCAAGAAGTAGACTTATACTTTGATCTCTCGAATTAGCAACAGCAATATCCAACTGATTATCGTTGTTAAAATCACCAATGATCAGTGATTGTGGACGAGATGATGCCGGTAAATAAAATAACTGTTCTTCTGAGAACGTACCATTTCCATTTCCTAAAAACACAGCTATATTGTTCCTTTCACGACAAGCAATTGCAATATCCCATCGAGAATCATTATTAAAATCTCCTATAGCAATATAATATGGAGAAGAATCACGTTTTTGCAAAACAATGTTACGACTTGTGAATGTTGGATAATCAAATCCAAGAAATATACCTATGTTATCTGTACCACTATTAGCAACAACAATATCAATCCAACCATCTTTGTTAAAATCACCAACAGCAACCGAATTTGGGAAAGCTGAATATCCAGTGATATATTCACTTGATACAGAAAATGTTTCATTACCAGAACTAAGAAATACTTTTAGAATACTATTATAAGAATTAACTACGGCAATGTCTAGTTGATTATCCTTATTAAAATCAGTCACAACAACATGTTGTGGATGTGAATTAGTACCTGTTGAATAAGTAATATTGTTCATAAAAGTTCCTTCTTTATAATCAAGTAATATTTGTACATTATCAATTCCAGCATTAGTAACAACAATATCCAGTTGATAATCATTGTTGAAATCACCAATAGCAACTGTTGATGGATGTGGATTGGTTTTTTGATAATAAACTGTACTATTTACGAAATCGGGTTGGTATCGTAAGAGAAGTACACTTATATCATTGGTGCCAAAATTGGCGACAGCAATATCAACTTCTTTATCATTATTAAAATCCCCAGTGGCTATGGAATAGGAATTAGAAGCATCTTCAATAAGTAATGTCATTTTTTTAGGGAAATTTCCATGACCATCTCCAAGAAATATATTGATACTGGGAATATCCGGATTCAAAACTGCAATGTCTAGTATAGTATCTTTGTTAAAATCACTTAAAACAGCAGACCATGAACTAGTTCCAATGTCAGTCGAATAAGTGTGCATATTTTCAAAAGTTCCATTACCATATCCTAGAAAAACACATATGTTGAAAGTGTCTGGAAAAATGGCGACGATATCGTCTTTGGTATCATTATTTAAATCTCCAACAACAAGAGAGGTTGCATAATAATTGTCAGTCGAAAGCAATATCGGATTTTGAAAAGTACCATTGCCATTGCCTATATATATGCTAAGACTATACCTATCATAATCAGCAGAAACAAAGTCTAATAAATTGTCATTATTGAAATCACCCACAGAGATAAATATTGGAGAATAATATCCAGTTGGATAATTTACTACTTCTGCAAAAGTTCCATTACCATATCCATGCAAAAAAGCTACATTATCACCATAATTATTGGCTACCACTATGTCAAGATTTTTATCGCCATCAAAGTCACCAATAGCAATTGAAGATGGAATCGAATTGTTTCCAACTATACATATATATCCATTATCAAAGTTACCTTTACCATCTCCCAAATAGATACGTAGTTCATTGCTGTAATATATGGTCACGACAATATCGGCTTGTTTATCATTGTTGAAATCACCAATAAGAAGCAAATCGGAATCAACTTCTTTTATGACAGAAGAAGCCTTTTGATTTTCAAATGTACCATTACTATATCCTATGAACAGATCAATATTGCTCCAGAGGATGTCGGTAACAACAATATCGAGTTGTTTATCATTATTGAAATCATCAACAGCTATAAGATACGGAAAAGAATTGTCACCAGTTGAATACTTTGTTTGATTTGCAAGGAGATAAATAGTATATGATCTAAGTACACGAATAGAATTAATACCATTATTAATAACGACGACATCTGATATAGTGTCATTGTCAAAATCACCAACAGCAATTGAATATGGATTAGAATTATATCCAGTTGAATGTGTTGCCTTAATAGAAAATGTCCCATCTCCATATCCTTCTAGTATAATTACATTGTCTGTTCCTGAATTCGCAACAATTATATCAACTGTATTCTCTTTACTAAAATTACCAACAGCAATAAATTGTGGATGAGAATTAGAACCAGTTGAATATGTTGCTTTCATTGTAAATATTCCATCTCCATCTCCTAGAAATATACCAATTTTGTCAGTAGCAGAATTAACAATAGCAATATCAATAAAATGATCATTATTAAAATCATCAATAGCTACTGAACATGGATGAGAACCATTTCCAGTTGAATATTTACTAATTGAAAATGTTCCATTTCTAGTAGCTAAAAGTATAGCAAAGTTACTAGTACCATAATTAATAACAACAATATCAAGTTGTTTATCATTGTTAAAATCAGCCGTAGCAATTGAATATGGCATTGAATCATAACCCATATCATAATTTGTATGCATTTGAAAAGATCCATTACCAAAACCTAATAAAATAGATACATGAGAAGTACCATTACTAACTACAGCAATATCCAATAGATTATCTTGATTAAAATCACCGATTGCTAATGATATAGGACGAGAAGAACCACAAGGAAATGTTAATTGATCTGAAAAACTTAAATTACCATAGCCAAGAAATAAACCTATATTATGAGTACCATAATTAGCAACAACAATATCAAGTAATGTATCATTGTTGAAGTCTCCAATAGCTACCCAATATGGAAGAGATCCAAGTCCAGTTGAATAATTAATTCGAGATGAAAAAGTCCCATTGCCATAACCTCGACGAATACCAATATTATCACTACCAGTAGTGGCAACTGCGAGATCCAAATGATTGTCACCATTAAAATCTCCAGTAGCAACATGTTGTGGTCGTGAATCAGATATAAACATACCTTGAACTGTTCGTTCGAATTTCATTTCACATTTTTTATCTAAAACATCATAAATAAAATAGATTGAAATCTAATCATCATTTGCTCTTCAATCATTTAACTTTTCACTTAAAAAAAAACGTATTGTAAGAAAATATGTTGAATTCTACTAATGAGATCGATTTCAGATTGTAATGAAAGATTGTTTTTTAATATATTACTGTACTAACTTATAATAAAGATAACAACCTAAACAATTTCATTGGTTAATTATTTATTTGTATATGTTATGAAACCAATAAGTAGTACATTATACAGTTCGACAGTTTCAAAAATTGAAAAGTGAGAACCGAACTGGAATCGATATTTTCGAATTTCTTCGAACCAGAACCGAAAGCGTAGAAGAAAACACTCTGGAAGTATTAAAGGAATTGGATTGTAAAATCATCAGACAGATATAAAAATTCTTAAATCTATGTCAAGAAATCTTTATTTTCAATACTTAAGATTAAACATTTCCGTATATACATATAATATTGTTTTGCTTGAATACTGAGATATGTTGCGTCTTTAATTTCAAAAATTCAATAATGAAACCTTCTCAAAATAGATTTAAAACTTTCGCATCTATTTGATGATTTAACGGTTTTAGTTTTACGTGGTATTTTCGGAAGTGAACCGAAATCGCTTATTTCTTCTTTATATTAACGGAACCACAGTCGAGCTTCGATAGCGGATACTTTTTCGAGCCGTCGAATTCTAATAGATTATCTCATTTTGTTTTATAGTTTTTAACATTAAGTGTTTAATATTTCAGTCTGAATTAAAATATTAAAATAAAATTATACTTGTTTCTTTTGGAAGACGAAGACAAACTGTAATTATGCCAATAGTCATTGCTATGATTGTAAACAAGGCAAATGCACATACTGCTTTACAAGATTGATCTTTTGATGAGTACGATTTATCCCTAATGAAAGCAATATATGAATTATAATAAAAAAGTTTAAAAACAAAGTAATATACTGAGTTGTTTCAGATTCTATATGACTGTCAGAGACACGAGAAGCATTGCCCATAGCGGATTCATTAAATACTGGATTTTCATCAGTACACCTTTTTAAAGGAGAAGGATGGATAGTAGATGAAAGTTGAACGGATATAAGATTATGATCCATGCAATTCATATTTATCTAAAGAAAAAACCAAATAAACGTAGTAATTGATAACTTTGACAGGATTTGCTTGTACATCGTTATAATAATTTTATTAAAACCACCAAATTATTATAGGTAAAAAAAAATCAAACATATCGAAATTATATCGATTATTCTAATCATTTTTGATTAAAACTGATTCAAAATCACACAAAGAGAGATTAGTTTTAATCAATTTCGAGTGATTATAAGTGATTTCATTATGAATATGAAATTAGTTTTAGTCAAAAATAATCAAAATAATCGATGAAAGTTCGATATTTTTGATTATTTTTTTTATTATAATCGATTAAAGGTGTATGTAATCGAGTAAACATATTTAATTTTAATCGATTTAGAATCGATGTTTCGCATCAGTTCTTTTTACATGGATGTTGATTAACTTCAATTTTTCTTTGTATAAAAGATTTCCTAATAGAACCAATCAAATTGTTCATGACTGAGTACAGTTGATACGCAATAGTTCTGTATCTATATCAGTTCTCGAAATAATTCGTTCAACCATAGCCAAAGAAATTTTTGCACATGGGTCTCGCGTTCGAACTTGAGCTGTTTTATTGAGTAAGATTTATGCATCATGTAACTGATAACAATTTGAAAGCTGTACTACGGAAGTATTTTCAGTTGTTTTAGATAACACATGAAAACGAATTACCCAACTCCAAGAAAACGATGCAGCAAACAGTGATAAACAATATAAAAATAATGAAAATCAGTGTCATTAGCGCAATTTTATATGTAAACTCGTAAAACGGTGGAAATACTAGGAGAAACGATGAGTGTGTGCTAGCGAAAAACTGTCGCGTAAGACAGATTCACCGATTACGACAAAATACGGTGAAAATTCATGTAGTAATATGCGGTTTTTGCGATTGGAATGACCATCCTGAGAAGTATCTCTTTAATGTGATGATACTTTTCATCCACACAAGGCTAACTGAAGTGATCATTACATTATTCATATAAAATAAAAGGAAAAAAAAAGATTTTTATCGACTTTTTTTAATTAGTTAAAATTTATTAAAAGAAGAAGTTTTTCTTTTAAGTTAAAATCAGACTTTAATTTACTTCAATAAAATACATAAATTGATTTTAATCTGTTTATCGACATTGTGAGTCTTTCATTCATAAGCATCCATTAGATATTAAATCTCGAATTGTGGTATGAGTAGCAAATATTGATCTAACATAACATTTATCATTTGTAGAGTCAAGAATTTCGAAAAAAGAATCGAAGTTTCGTGAATAAAACATAAGAAAAATGTATTCTACGGTGATCGCAATTAAAATCGATAAAACTCAATTTTTTTTCATTTTGTTTACATGGATGAATGATATGAGTATCATAGAAGTAAAATAGTGTTAACAGGAGACTAAAATTGATAACTTGCATCACAAGTAATCTAGTAGTTTCTCTGATTCGTCGAACTTATTCAACGTTTAATTAACTCTAACGAGATTCTTATTCGTACATGATAGTTGTCATGAAGCTGAAATACCGATGAGAATATCTTGCTTTTGTAATTCAATAGAAAATTTGTTTTTTTATTTTCAATGTCGTTTTTACAAGCATGAAAATTTTCTGACCTTATTAAACTCATCATCACTATGATTATAAACTTTTCACAATATTCTATTAAATAATACATCTATATCTATAGCTCTAAGCCTATATCCTTAAACCAATATTCCCATTGCTGTTCTCTTAGACCTATACTAGTGAATCTGCATTCTTACAATAATATGCTTTTACCCATATTCTTATTGTAAAAACTTCATTATTCTCTGTAAATTAGTTTCATTCTACTTCCACAAATGTTGTTGTATCCATATACTTATTCCCACGTCTTTTCTATCTGTTGTTCATTTTCCATTAGTTTATTGTATTAGTTTTTATCGCTGTACTATCATGTTATTCTTCTGACACATGCTTGTGTATATGTGTTATTAATATTTTATTTTACAAATACATGAATATGAAGTAAAGAAATAGAAAAATCATAAAAAGACTAATAAGAAACGATCATTTGAGTCTGTGAGTGTCGAATTTGAGATGTGGATATGAGTATGGCTGTCACTGTAAGTGTGGATTTTGGTTTGAGTAGTTTCTTCACACATTCACACCCACACTCAAGATTTTCCTATGCACCCTCATTATGCAAAACTCTCTTCTGCTTGTGCATTTATTTATTTGTGCGTAACAAGAAAAGTATATTTTATTTCTGTTACAGTAGAAACAACTGGTCTTAGACTTGGAAGTTTGCGATTTTGAAACACTTCCAGTTAACTTAATAGACACATATTTTCAAACTGACTTTTGCATTTAATCTTGCATGATTGTGTAGGATTCGTATTTTTAAAATCGTATGTGACAATGATGACAGAACTTATTTGATCAGGTTTGTGCCATAATAGCTGTTCTTGTAAATTTCGTATGTTATGATTCTTGTAAGATTTCTGCTTTAATTGTATGTTAAGAAGTATTCAAAATCTTACATTTATATCGAATGTATGATTTTTGATTGATCTTTTCGTCGGATCTTATGTCTGACTTTTTCATCTGGAAAGGATAAAATCATCTCTCTCTCTTTATTTATGAGAAACTTTTATGAGTATGAAGATACAAGATGATTGTATATTCATTGAGATAGAGTTTTAGTTCTAGAGCCCAGCATTTTAATGAGAGAATATTAATTGCTCGAAAGGAATAAGATCGAAGGGTAAAATCTTGAAAAATAAAAAATCAATTCCGAAAAATAAAAATCTCAACTTGAAAAAGCTCGAAATACAAAATCTTGAAAGTTCGTAATATAACCAATAAAACTAAATAACTACTGAAAGTAATCTTTCATTAGAACGATCCAAACGAGCATTATACTTTTGCATCTCTTTGTTTTTTTTTTCTTTGTTGTTCTAATCAGTTCCTTAGTGTATATGGGTGTGAATATCTGTGTTGATATCGTTGGGTCTGAATGTGTGCTGTCAGTTCACCTACACCCATATCCTGATCTTCAGGATATCAAAATGTGGAAATTAATTTTGAAAGGATATCTTCAAAGTTTATCATTATTTGTTGTAAAGAATATGAAAGGCAAATAATGATTCTCAAATCAATACTGATTTGTTTTTTTTTCTTCTTATGATTCTATTTCTTTTGCGTTGATTTTTCTCTTGAGGTAAAGCAGTAAAACATCACATTATCGGCGATCTTGCATATGTATATTTTTAATTCGTAATTTTTTTTATCATTCTTTCATGATTTAATGATTAATAAATCATATGTATCCATCGATTATTTAGATTGCTTTCATATTTTATACTTTCAAGGTTTTTGTTTATCGATCTTTTTCCTTTCGAGTAATTAATATTGATTCATTTTAATCAACATAGGTAGGTATTAGAGGAGATAAGAAAAATAAAGTGAATATTAAAAAATGCATACACATCGAGGACAAAACGTGATTTAATATTATCATCATGTATCATATCAACCAGCTCTTATCGAAGTTTTATTACTATGATATTAGTTAAAGAATAATAAAATATCAGAAAAAAAATATATAAAACATTGCTTTTACTATCGTATTATATAACGAGAAAGTTCCTTTAAGCTTTCTATAAGGAATTGAAATATCTACGTCACTACTTTTTTTTAGTATGCACTAAATATAAATAATCCTTTATTGACGGTAAAAAAAAAAACCTAGTTCATTCAGTCAAACTATGGCAGAAATACTGAAGTTTTTCTTTCCAGTAAACTAACATTTTCGACCATTCTGTATATCATGAATTATTTTGTGTTAATACTAGTAACCGAATCGTGAGCGTATTAAAATTTATTTTTCATGATAAATTTTTTGTTTTTGTATATCTGATAATAAACAACGATTAAAGCTTACATACATACATACATACGCTGACGGATGAAAGTGAAGACGGCAGAAAAACAAAAAAGATACATAATTATATGAACAGTATTAACGAAGCCATAGAAGCGTGTCTACCTAATTTATAAATTGAAAAAATATTATATAAATGTCATACCTGTCACGATTTTGGTCTAACATCATTCTTCTTCTATATCGTACATTGCTTATATCCGAAGTGAAAGAGAGAAAGGAGAAAATACCGAGGCCAGAGAGAGAGAGAGAGATCATGTAAACATGAGATGGCAAAAGATGATAAAATGAGAATACATACGTAAATAATCCATTAAATACAGAGTGAAAACAGATAACAACACAAAAAATAAGCATGGAGTATCACAATATCCTCACTAATGTACAGGGTTGGAAATAATATTTTGCCCGGGGGTTGCCGATATAATTTCAAATAGAAGACATAATGAATTTTATACGAAATGAAAGCTCGTCAAAAATGGGGTTTATTGATACTAAATAGTAAGGGTTATGAAAACTTTTTAATGTCGAACTTAAGAAATTTTCAGAAATTTTATACTTTTTTTGGTGTGGAAAATTAAGGTGCCAGTAATTGAAAAATGAAGTAAAATGTTTTTCTTGGATATGTTTACATGGTTCAATAAAGCTCGTCGTGCTCTATAAAATTATATATATTAAAAATTTTCTGAGTTATTTTTTTATAATAAAAAATTCAAAAAACTACTTGGAAAATCTTAAAAAGCGTTAAAAAAGTCATAGATTTGATATGGACGAAAAACACTCGAATTTTCAATAAAATTAGCTTTTTTTGATTATTTTTACTCCCTCAGGCGTTTCGAAATATACTCATTCGATGCAGTTTTTCACGCTATATTGAATGAGTATATTTCAAAACGTTTAAGGTAGTACAAATAATAAAAAAAGCTAATTTTATTGAAAAATCGAGTGTTTTTTCTTCCATATAAAAAATATGAGTTTTTTTAACCTTTTTAAGATTTTCCAAGTAGTTTTTTGAATTTTTTATCACAAAAAATGGCTTTAAAATTTTTTAATATATACAGTTTTGTAGAGCTCGACGAGCTCTATTGAACCATGTAAAAATATCCAAGAAAAACATTTTACTTCATTTTTCAATTACTGGCACCTTAATTTTCCACACCAAAAAAAGTATAAAATTTCTGAAAATTTCTTAAGTTCGATATTAAGGCCACCCCCCTCCTCAAAAATCGATCTCAGCTCTGGAACATCGAGATAGCATGAAACTTTGGGGATATGTTGGGGGTGTAAAAGTACGTCTATGATAAAATTTTCAGCCTCCTATCCTGATGTATTAAGTAGATACGAACCAAACAAGGGTCGAAAAATGGCTTATCGTAGCCCCCAAAAATCTCTATGGGTGTTCATTCAATACGGTTCATTGTTTTTTCATTTGAAAGAGCATGTCAGGATGCAGTGCCTATGAGGGGCCTTTTTTTTAAATTCTTATCTTTAATAAGAAAAAAAGGGTTCACAAATTCTATCACTCAAAAATCTCTCAAAAAAATGATGCTTATATTATAAAATCGGTTTTCAGTATAATAATAGGAAAGCTTTATCAAAAAAAGGGCCCTCATAGGCACTGCAGTTTTTGATGCTCTTTCAAACAAAAAAAAATATTTGACTTTATATCGGATTATAATTAACTTTTGGTGGGGCTACGTAATTCGACCACCATTTTGAGAAAAAACGAAAAAGATTTTTGGACTTTTCGAAAAACCAGCGGTTTTTCGAATAGGGGTCGTCAAAAATATTGAAAATTTTCCGGAAAAAAGGAGGTATCGAAGAAAAGTTTTTATCGTTTATGAAAGAGCAAATGACAGGCTATCTCCCCATGTATTTATCTCAATCTTGACCATTCTGACGAAAACTAACTTTTTTGAGGGGGGGGGGGGTGGCCTTAAAAAGTTTTCACAACCCTTATTATTTAGTATCAATAAACCCCATTTTTGACGAGCTTTCATTTCATATAAAATTCATTATGTCTTCTATTTGAAATTATACCGGTATACCCCGGGCAAAATATTATTTCCAACCCTGTATATGAATATACATCTTCTTAACTAGGATATCAATTAGTAACATATCGACATTTGACTGAGCAGTGTCAACTCATTATGTGATGAGAATACTGAGAGAAAAATGAAGAAAATCTTGACAAAAAAAAAGAATCAATATGAAAACGATGTAGAGATTGTTCGAAAAGAAAAGCATTATTTTTGAAATAATTTATTGAAAATGGCAAAAACAATTGATTAGTGCAGAATCTTCCTTTTTCATATTTCATATGCATATCATCAAGAAACTTATTCAACATCTTCTCCAAATTATACAACTAGATGATATTTGAGATTCGCCTCGGATATAAAATGCAGTACGAAGTACTCGTGTCGAGAATTCGAACAAGGAATTTCGAATCGAAATCGAATAATGGCTCTAAGTACCAATGGAATTCGTTCTCACAATCTACGACATGGTTCGAAGATAATCAAGAATGTTTCTCAGTAAGGAATAATCGATAATAAAATATCTTTATCAAACAGCTGATCTCATCTAGATCCGAAATGAATGGCGTCCATTATAAAATTCATCACTTCAGAAACTCTATGAAAGCGTATCGACACATTTCTACATAATATTTTCTATTGATCAATTAATTATGTCAGTGATTCATTATCTACTATCAGCTGTAATTCACAGCTGTTTGATACATAACTAAACAATTGGGGCCTAACTTTTTTTTTTTTTGAATTTTCATTTTAATTATCTCAAAAATAAACTTCGTCAAAATTGTGTTTTTGGAGTTTCGATTGCAGACGAACTATGGGTTCTATAGCAGGCTCGACTAAAAATACTACGAGTTCGATCTAAACACTTGCACATCGCGTTTGAACGAGTATTCTGTGAATTTCCATTCTCGAGTTTTTTTTTTTTTTGTTTTTCTTCTTTCTATATTTCATTTTTATTTAAGTTGACATAAGAACAAATAAATTGATGATTTACAATAATTAACTAACAAAATTAATTCATTATAATTATCAATCATACTTGTTCTCGGCATGTGATCCGCACATGTATATTATGTGTTGATGGACTAGTTTAGTTATCAACACACTGTCAACGACAAGTACAGTACATCATCAGCAGCACAGGCGTCATGGGATGTGCATTTTAGCCGATTTGTTTGAAGATAGAATCATGCTGATCTACAGCATGATGCACTTATTTTTACTCAATTTTCTTCAGTTTATTGTATTTCTACAAAACGTCAGAAATTTTTTATTTCTATATGATTAGATAGAGCATTGATTACTCTATCCAACGATATAGTTTTTATTTGTTTTATCTCATGTCTTGATAGGGAAATCTTAAAAATTTTAAAACAAAACTTTTGCACACGTATGCTTAACTCAGACCAAGCCCGATTGTCGCGAAATTAGCCTTAAATGGAAGAGATCCGTCAAACTTAAAGTCGCACCAAATATTGAATGAAACTGTTTTAAATTCGAGGAGGAAATAAAATTTTACTGTTGGAATTTTAGACACTTTCGCACTACTTCATTTTCAGTGCTATTCGTATAATCTCAAATTTACTTATAAGATTTTACAACTAAATCAGGCTAAAATTACATGAATCAGTAGAAAAATTGTTGCTCTATTGAAGTGTATATTAATGGAAAAGATTGAAATAGCTGGACAACTATAATTTACTCGACAAAGACAAATGATTGAACTTTTATCAAAGAAATTTGTTAAACATTCACTAAATTTTCAGTCAAAATGGAAAAATAAATTAGATAAAAATAAATGGTTCGATAGAGAAATGAATTCTCTATCTAACTATATAAAAACGAAATATATTCATTTGTCCAATACGTTTTAATTACTCGAATTATTCGAAAGAAACATCTCTAAATTCCACAGAAAAAAAAAATTTTTTTTTACTGGCTTCACGAAACTTCCTCATTTTCTAACCAACACATGAGATAAATCAAATGAAAACTATATCGTTGGATAGAATAATCAACGCTCTATCTAATCATATAGAAATAAAAAATTTCTGACGTTTTGTAGAAATGCAATAAACTGAAGAAAATTGAGTAAAAATAAGTGAATCATGCTGTATTTCTTTTTTTTTTGTTTTTCTTTTTTATAGTCTCAAGTTAGATTCATCTTTTTCTTTTCTGTAATCATAATAACAGACATTCATGTCATTGAAAACTATTGATACGTAATCTAATGGATATATATCTCGGAGTCAGATTCATTTCTCTTTTTTTTTTTTTTTTTCTTTTAGATGAGTAATGAACTATTATTTTTATCGTCAACTATGTCGAATAAACATGAACGTATATGAGAAATAAAATATTATATTAATCAATTATTATTAGAATTACATACAATTGAACTAAATAATAATTATTTAGAAAATTTTCAACCATTTAATATAACAATAAATTCATCATCAAATATAATAACAAATCTCAGTCCCGGCTCGAGCAATATATTTAAATTTTTTTTTTGTTTGAAAGAACGCGTCGAGATGCAGGTTACCACAGAGTCTTTTTTTTTTAAATTAAGCTTTGTTTTTTATTATATATACAGACACTTATGTGACTGGACATCCATTTTTGGTGCGTTTTTTGAGTCATTGGACTTGTGATCTCCTTTCTCCGCTAAAAAAGTACGAATCTTAAAAAAAGGACTCTGTGGTGCCCTGCATCCTGACATGCTCTTTCTAACAAAAAACAATTTAAATATGTTGGATGGATCCGGACTGAGAAATCCTTGTACTAAAATGACCTATTTTTGACCCCTTTTTTGGTGAATATCTCAGTCAAACATTGTGATATCGAGCTGAAAATTTTACCACAGCCTCCTCACTTCAGTCCCAACATATGCTCCAAATTTCAGCCAATTTGAACGTACCTGGACTGAGATCGATTTTTGAGGAGTGGGGGGGGGGGGGGGAAGGGGATGGCCTTAAATAATTAATGCCCATATTTATTTCGTAAACAAACTAAATTACATTCAACAACATATCATGAATATAGAATATTTCATAAAAGAAAAAAATATTTAATATTATCACCAAAAAAAAAAATCTTTTTATTACATCATCATGTATAACAAGTACACCAAAAAATTCTCCTTATCAAAATAAATTACTTCACCCTCATCTAACATCAACACCACATCATAATAAACATCAATCAAAAAATATTATTCAACTTAAACGTCTTGTTTATAATAATAATAATGATAAGTTTTCTAATCGACAACGACGTTCAACTAAACGATCAATTCTTCCATGTTATTGTCCGTTAAATCCAATTGATGAAAATCCACAATGGATTTAAATATTTTTTGTTTTTTTTTTCTTATAACCAAATAAATAAATATAAACTTTTTGTTTCATAGATTATATTATTATTATTAATTAATTGTTCCGTTTCATAAAGCCAAAATGTCCATGTTTGATTGGAATCTCTTGAAAAAAAATTAAGTATGCAAAAAATAAGTGTGAAATAGATTCGTTTTATCTAATAAATATATAAAGATAAGTGTGACGAATATTTTTCAAGTATTAATTAGAAAACAAATTATGGATGAAGTTTTTATTTCACTATAAAGTCGGTTTTTTTTCTCTTCGACTATATTTATATTCTTATATTAATTGCAAATGATAGTTTATAGAATTGAGAATTAGAATAATAAGTGTCAATATAATGATTCATAACTATCAAGTAGAAAGTAAAATATTCATGGTTGTCTTTTTTTAAGACATATGTTTTTCTCTATCCTACATAAGACTGTAACACTATGTTTCGATCATTGAAATCTGAATAATTACATATCTTAATACATGCTCAAAGATGTGGTATTGGCGAGGTGCTCTTCTCCTTCTCTGACTTTTCTCTCTTCGCCATATTTCAAAGAGTATAAACCTGTTAGGTATAAGACTAGTAGATAATTATATTATATGTAATATAAAATAAAAAAAGTGATTAAAAGATTGCTGGCTTTTATTATATGAGGCAATCTCTATAGAAATGAATAGTAATTCATATAGTTAATATATAAAACATAATCGATGGTTGACTAATGTTTCGATCTAATTTGATTTCTAAATAATAGCTGTCGAATTTGATCAGTTTTGTTTGTTTTTCATCATACATCATTTGCATATAAAATATGTATAAAACAGAAATCGGTTTTTTCATTCTATTGGTTAATTTCTTCAAAAAAAGCTCATCTTTCGTTATAATGTAATTATTTCTTATTCGTAGAAAAACAAAATATGTAAACATGGTTATTGATGCTCAATACCTTGTACTAGCTAAGGTTATTATAGTTAAGATATAATATAACATTTTCTCGTGTTATTTTTCTTAATGTATAAAGTGAAATTTTCTTATTATTATATACATAGTGTGGCCTATAACAAGCTAGGCAATGAGAAATTTAAATATTTCTGCTAAATGTCGACCAAATCAACTAAAATTTTTATCGGTAATCGAGGCTTTGAAGTTTTGTTTCATAAGAGAAACATTAACAAATAGTGTTCTCAACTAGTAACATCTATTTCAACAAGGATTTGTCACTTTTTACGGGCTGAAAAAAATGTTACATGATGGTCCATACATACTTTAAAGAAGTGGCTGTAGAAAAGACCTACACCCACACATATGTCTTATTCTCAATCTGAAATTTAAAATTTTAAACACTTTAGTTACAATAGGATCTTACTATTTGCATGGAAAGAGTCACAAATACAAAAAAAAAAAGAAAAGTTTGTAATGTTACTTTGAATTCATTTTACAACGTTTTTTTAGCACGTATAACAGATGATAGATTCTTGTTATGGTAAATGTTATTAGTTCGGAACACTATTTCTTAATGTTTTTCTTATGAAAAAAAAAAAATACTTTGAACAAGTCTCTATTACTGACAAAAATTTCAGTTCATGTAGTCGACATCTAGCAGAGATATTTAAATTTCTTATCGCTTTATTGTTTATGGGTCAAACTCTATGTAAATAGATTTTACTACAACATTTATATCGTAGATCTCATGATGAGATTTTATTCTGTATATTGTAATTTTTAGCATGGAACATAAAGTATAAGTAGAGAATGATTTTTGCAGTAATGGTGATAGATTTTATTCATGATACTATTATTTATTCCTTTGAAATTAGTGAGAAAAATTTTCCTTTTAGTGCAATTCATTTAGTCAAGGTTGGATGATTGAAAAAAAGAATCAACATCAATAACCTAATGGCAATCACATCGAATGAAGAGAATAGATCACAGATCTATGGGTCCTTACGACTCGGTAGAATCTAGGCCTCGAATCCAAAGTATCCTAAAGTGAATTATTGAAGAAAGAGTTTGAAGTCGTTTTTTTTTCTGTTTGAAGATGACCTTCGACGATATAGAACATTTGAATTGATAAACTTTAAATCAAGCTATAAATATCTGAAATATTTCCGAGTTAAGTAAGGTAGTTAGATAAAGTTTAAGTTATTGTCTATAGATGAAATAACTTTTGAATGATTCTAAATGCACGTATAAATTTAAGTTCAATCAAATTAGATTTATATCGAAGTTGATCTAATCATTTGTCCAAATTGTTGAATACAATCAATTTCAATATTAAGTAATTCAAGATAAGGACATAAAAATGATAATTTTGATATCATATTTAAATTAAACATAACTTTTTGAATAGTTAATTGTCGAAGTTTAGGCACATGAGATAAATGATTTGGTAATCCAAAAATTTTTAATGATACAAGTTAAGTTTCAATATTTGAAGATTTTTACATGAAATAATATTTAATTTAGGTAAACTATTTTCATCTATATCTAATGATGATCGTAATGAAACATTAAGATATTTTAATTGAGGAAATACAGCTAATAAAATTGAGAAGTAATGCTATATATTCAATTGTTACTGTAAGATATTCAATTTTTGATTGAAATAATAAGGATTATTTAATAATTAGGTAATCAATGAATATAATAGAAATAAATTATCAAAGACAATAATTGTTGATATATTTGTTTTTATGATTTATTTCAATTCGATTTCAAATGAAGTAACTTTTTCTATGAACATTTTTCAAATAAGATCAAATATAGACATCGATGACGAAGCGTTTTTGCATCTAGAATTGACTAAACAATGTTTATAAGACTCTCGCAGAGAAGTTAAGAATAAGAAGAAGATGTATAAAGTTCACATGATTCAGAAAAAAAAGTACATCCTGTTTGAGAAAAACGTACGCTTGAAGGAACATGACAACATTTGTCTTTCATTAATTTCTTAAAAATTTTCTTGTTCTTATAGAGATAAAATCATGTTTTAATTTGATATGTACATATATGTGAGTTTCATTTTCTATTAAATTTTTTTTTTTTTTTTCTTTTAGAGAAAATAATCTTGCTCATTATTCAACGATGACGACAATGAATTTCTTCAATCAATAAATAATTGAGTTTTTAATCGGAAACAACGATGTTAATTTGAATTTTTATGATTATTATTACAACTGACGAGGGAATCTTTCCAATGTGAAAGTTACTTTTTAGTTCAGATTCTATGCATAATGTAGACCCCAATGAAGTAATAAATACCCTAAAAGTATAAGGGTTCCTTAGGTCCAGGGGTGGCGCGACCGGGGGGTAGTCGGGGGTGCGACACCCCCCCAATCTTCAAAAATTTCTGTTTTTTTGCTCAACAAAATCAGGAAATTTTCTTCCATTTGTCACCAAAAACAATGTTACACCCCCCGAAAAATTGCAGACTTCGTCTTTCTAGTCCAAAAAATTTCGTTACACCCCCCCAATGTTGGTTGACTCGCGCCACCCCTGTAGATATGTCACCGAGAAAGAAATGAAAACGAAATAGAAAAGAAAAT